ACACAGGAAAGTCGAGACTTTCTTTGCATGTGCCGCTTTCCCACGAGGCCATGATGACCTTTCCGGCGACGAGGCAGTACGACCCACTCCGACCAAATCATGGCCTAATCACACGCAAATCCGCAACCTTCCAAGCCCTCCCATCAATCAAAATCGTCCTATATACTACCGTGCTCCACCCCTCTCCACCGGCTCACCGCAACACGCCTCCCCCAGTGCCACTCCGTTTCCCAAGCACATGCGGCAGCATCATTCACAGGAGAGCTAGCTTAGCTCCCTTCGCTTCACGTGTCCATCTCCATCCCCGACCACCAACCGTCGCCAACTTGCCATGGACAAGACCTAGCCAGCTCGTGCCTTTTGGTCCTTGGGAGTTGGGAGAGAGATCCTCCGGAGCTGGCCAAGGCATGGCATTGGAGGCCGCGGTGTTCTCCCGCGCTGCTGCTGGTCTCTTCGGTCGCTGCGCCATGGCGGGGGCGGGGGCGGGGGGAGCTTGGAATGGTCTCTTCGGTGGGGGCGAAGGGTTGGCGGGCTTGGACGGCGGGGACTGGGACGCCGCCGCCGCCGCCGCGTTCTCGTCCATGCTGCTGCCTCAAGCTGCGTTCCAGGAGCTGGATATCTCCGCCGTCGCCGCTGCTACCGCTCCGCAGGAGGAGTCCGTAGGTGGCGGCGAGATGAGCGCGGCCGGCGTGGGTCAGGATGACGCTGCGCCCGTGGCGGCGGCGGCGACGGGGCGGAGGAAGCGGCGGCGGACGAGGACGGCCAAGAACTCGGAGGAGGTGGAGAGCCAGCGGATGACCCACATTGCCGTCGAGCGCAACCGCCGCAAGCAGATGAACGAGTACCTCGCCGCGCTCCGCTCCCTCATGCCGCCCTCCTACGCGCAAAGGGTAACATTCACAGCCGCCATTGGCCTCCTCGACCCCTTTGCTTTTGTTACTAGGTTGATAGATACTGAAGTGTGCGCTATTGCTGTGTCTACGTAGGGTGATCAGGCATCTATAGTTGGAGGTGCGATCAACTTCGTCAAGGAGCTGGAGCAGTTGCTCCAGACCCTGGAGACGCACAGGCGGACACGGGAACCCGCGGCAGCCGTCGACGGCGGGGAAGCGCCGCCACCGCCGTTCGCCAACTTCTTCACCTTCCCGCAGTACTCAATGAGCGCTACCTCGGCACCGGCGCCTCCTCCGGCCACCGATGAGGGTGAGGGTGCCGACGGCTGCCCCGGGGCGGAGGCGTCCGGATCAAAGCCGTCGGCGGTGGCGGACGTGGAGGTGACCATGGTGGAGAGCCACGCTAACCTGCGGATGCTGTCCCGGCGGCGGCCGAGGCAGCTGCTGCGGCTGCTGGTGGGGCTGCAGGGCCACCGGCTCACGGTGCTGCACCTCAACATGAGCAGCGCCGGCCACATGGTGCTCTACTCGCTCAGCCTCAAGGTACGTAGCACGCCTACACGTTCTCCCCGTACAAGTAAACAATTCCGGCTTTTGTGATATGCATGCATATGGCTCTCAGTCCAAGGGGTTTACGGCAGTACCTATATCTGGTTAGCAATATCATACTGCTTCAGTCTGAAACAAGCTGGTGCCTAGGTTTCCGTGCTTTTTGTATTTTGCGTTGTCCCGGACAGCAAACGCCTCCAAATTCTCCCAGCTGTTTACTTTAATGGACCTCAGCAAACCTAGCTAAAATTGTCCGGCGTGTTTCCAGTTGGAACCGCTGTCTAGTAACTTAAATTACTGATGGGATCGTACGATGTGAGCTGGGGCTATAACCCTAGGCCTAGTAACAACAGCTTTGCGATTCCTTCCTAAAAATATATACAAGATCACTTAAATGCATCATTCAAGCTAATTTAGCCCTAGGCGTAATCTGCGTAATCTGATGGCTGGAAATATTTGCAGGTGGAGGACGATTGCCAACTTACCTCCGTGGATGAGATCGCCACCGCGGCCCATCAGATCGTCGAGAAGATCCAAGAAGAGCAAGAGCTTACTGTGGCGGCTTAGGGCAGCATCTCACCTTACATTATGCAATGCGCAACATTAGTTTATTCTAGCAAGTTAGGTGACTCGTGTGCAAACCAATAAAGTCCATCTGTGCAATGCAATGCTTACTGCTGAATCCATGGATGAAAAATAATGAATTTGTTCATAATGTGCATCAGTAGATGTTGCATGTAGAGTAGCTAGGCATGTGTTGTTTCTTCGGTTTAAAACGCGGGGCATGCAATGCAATGCTTCCAAACCACTTCAAAGATGAAGGCAGAGAACAATTCCATGCATGGCAGACATGACATATGGCATTCCCTGTGGCCTACCGTGCTCCATAGGATCGGACACTGTTGTCAGCTGCGCTGTTCCTCAACCTCCTCGGTGCATCCTGTTCCCCCCGTGAAGCACCATTTCCTGCCAAAACACCAACAGACAACATCTCCCTTTTAGTTCCAAAACGAGTAGTATGACTGATTAGATCCTTAATCGGGTATACTGGATACTGGATATTAGAGTAATGCATACATATCTTCAGTGTGCCATAACAAAAGTCCGTTTCTGTAAAGAAGGTGGAGCCTTTTAGAGAAAGCAGCATAGCACAGACATGAGCACAGGTCAGGCAGTACTGAAAAGTGAAAAGCCAATCGATGCCAAGACAAGGAGAAGAGAAGAGCTCCAGAACACAGGGTACGAGTTGTGCCGTGTCGTCCCATTGACCCAAGGAAAAAGATTCTAGAACAGGGCGCTTTACCGGAATAGCCTTTTACCATTTCCATGTAAGCATGATTGACCGAATAGTGGAGAGGGCTGCTCCGTTTCTGCGAACAGCGATGCTCTGCACCCGGCTGATTCGACCGACGGGACAAAGCACATGCGCAGCTTTGCTCCCATGCAGCATGTCGCGTTCCGCCCCCGAGATGTTCTGCTCCCATCGATGTAACTTCGCCCACGTAAAAGGGTGGAGCCTCGCCTGGGAGTAAAATAATGTACTAGAAAGGCAGCAACTTCAGTGGAGACACCATCCGTCCAAAGGTTTGAGTTAGGGAAAGATGTGCAACTCACAGAAGTACCGTTGTTTTACAGTCATGTACTGTATCATATTTGGTGTGCATGTTTCCTGAAGAAAAATGGATATGCATCATCAGCGCCCGTGAGTCCAAGCATGTGAGTGCCCGTGAAAATGACAGATCCGGGTACCAAGGGCGGGCAATAGGGTAGTATATTCGTACGAATTCACCGACGATATAGATTATTAATGGTCCATATGCTTAGAGGCCGCTTGTAGCAATAGGGACCAAAAGAGGTAGAGCATCATGGCTTGAAACATGCCAAAACAGGTTGTACGCCAGGACAAAAATTGCTCTTAATTAACCAGTCTCAAAAGCAGACATGACATGCAAGATTCTTGTTAATTATTCATTGGTTAGTGGAACAACCATAGCTTAATACAGTAGTGAATGTGGAGAACCAATCTCAATCCCATGACATAGATCACATCTTTGCAAGTGCTATAGTAAAAAGACCTACAGATGTTGTGGACCTGTTCCAGGAATTCATAACCTTCGCGTTCTCAGCTGAGAGCTTAACATTGGTAGAACCGATAACACGGTATCAGGAAAATCATAATCAACTGTGAATTCAATAATACGCAGATTATTAAATTCCCAATACGGTCATCTGACATAACAGTTCCTGACTGACCAAATTTAGGTCAAGATGGCTCCTAGAGTAGAGAGGTCCACCTGTAACAGTTTAGCAAAGCAGTCCCAGTACAGCATACGGCTTTCTTTTCGAACTGACTGCTCATCATAAGATAAATATGCTAGGATTTTACTTCTAAAAACCTTTGGGAAAACAGCTAAATGTAATCATGTCTTCAGGCTGTTGGAAACTTCTCAAAAATAATTACTCCCTCTGTAGTGATCTAAACGCTCTTATATTTCTTTACAAAGGGAAGTACCAGTTAACCAACACTTCTGAGCTCACAACCTCGTCACTAGAGCTCCTAATCAAAACAAGAATGATAGTGGTTTACCTTAAGACATTGGATGAGATATGCTTCACTTGCATATTCTACCACTCCATTAATCTTTGAGAATAAACTCAAGCCTGAAAGGAATCACTAGAGGAAGCAAAGGCCACGTTCACAAATCACTGAAGGATACACAACAACAACAGCTTCCATGGCTTTGCCTCTATCAGATCTACTGTGTATTGAGTTATACACGCATGGACACCTTGTTATCTCAACTTTCATGCAATGAAAAGGGATCATACATGTGAAAACATGTTGGAAGAAGAAGGTAAGAATATTAATGCAATTAAAAAACATGAAATATAAGGTACAAGTACAAACCATGCCAACCGAATTGTACACATGTTACAGTTTAAAAGTGCATAGGTTACCATCAACCAAAGTGTAGCCTGTGGACAACTGGAGATCAGCAGCTGCGACCCCCATCAAATAAAAGCAAACAACAAATAGACAACTTAACAGATACGCAATTTCATTTGTATGGGCTCTTAATAAATAATTCCACTTGAAGAAAGAGACTAGGTATAGGAAAAGGGGAGACAATGATGGAGAAAGAGGATGAATAAGGGGCCATAAAGTAAAGCATAAGCAGATTTTTCCTGAAGTTGCCAATGGGAACAAAAGATGAACCAGCAGCAGCATCACAAAAAAAGACAACTTAAAATCTAAAATCCACTGTCGGTTGGTGTGATATTTTATCATGCAAGACAGCTTCCTCTGTGCTTTAGCTCCAGAACAACAATGATGTGCTTTGCTACATCTATCAAGAAAGGAATTTTTGGGTACATGAATGGTGAATCATAACTCTGAAATTTATTGTTGAAGCTTCAATATAGTGAGATTTAATACTCCCTCCGTCCCTAGATACATCCGTATCTAGGCAAATCTAAGACAAGAATTTTGGGACGGAGGGAGTAGTAAACGGAGAACATGGTAAAATCTCAAGTGCTGTACCTGTAGTTTTCTTTTTACAAAATATCCTTAGATGTTTGATAACCAGAGCTTAGCATGCTTTCTCAAACAACATGTATGAATGATGAGGTGCATGCAATGCAAGTGAACTATAATGTGTAATTTCCAGAAGATAATTATGAATTCGTGAGTTCTGTATAACTGATAAAATTACTGATGCTTAGGTGAACAGATGAGCATATTTATTTCACAATTGATATTCACGAGTTCTCTGGTGTAAATGTGCAATATAGCTTGGAGAGCAAAGACATAGAGAAGACTTTTGATACAGCAGCCTCATGCTTTGTCATAATCAAGATGATACTAAATATATTTTACCTACCAAATTCAAGAAAAAAAATACTCCCTCCGATCCAAATTAATTGACGCAGCTTTAGTACAACTTCAATTAATTTGGATCTGAGGGAGTAGCATGTTCTCAACTCGTTTAAGCATGTGGAAACTCGTTCCTTACTGTGCACCTACCATATAATGCGATGACCAGTAGGCCTGACGGAGGCAGGAACAACTTTAAGGTGTGGCGGAGGTACCTATTATATGCAGCTCAGCTCAAATATTCAAACATGTACTATATATACTAGGTATACATGGCAAAATTTAGGTATGGCACAAGCCAACCTTGCCAGATTGCTGGCTACGCCACTTCAACAGGAGAGAGATTACTGCTAGGAAAAAGAGCATAGATATAGAAAATAAACACGCACCCAGCACCTTCATCAGCACAAAAATGGTTGTAATAAAAAAAACAGAAATTGGAGGTCGTGTTATGCTTGCTTATTTCCATATTTATTCCAGAAACCATTAAAAACTTGGTAAACAGAGTAGGGATTGTCCCTGGTAGTTGAAGCAGGGCGTGGCCGCATGAGACTAGTTTAATTAGCATTTTCCGTTATTAGGATTGTTTAGAGAAAATGGGACACGGGAGTTGGCTCTAACAGAAAAATAAATGCACAAGTACAAAATTTAGTTCAGCCAAGGAAATAAAACCATCAAGTCCAATTATAGCTTACAGTAATTCTACTCAATGGTTTTGTCCATTCATTACTTTCTGAATTACCAACGGTTAGGCACGAAGGAAGGTGAAAGGGACATCTATAAGATGGCTAAGATCCGGGAGAGGAAGACGAGGGATATTGGCCAAGTCAAATGCATCAAGGACGGAGCAGGCCAACTCTTGGTGAAGGACGAAGAGATTAAGCATAGATGGCGGGAGTACTTCGACAAGCTGTTCAATGGGGAGAATGAGAGTTCTACCATTGAACTGAATGACTCCTTTGATGAGACCAGCATGCGTTTTGTGCGGCGCATCCAGGAGTCTGAGGTGAAGGAGGCTTTAAAAAGGATGAAAGGAGGCAAGGCGATGGGCCCTGATTGTATCCCCATTGAGGTGTGGAAAGGTCTCGGGGACATAGCGATAGTATGGCTAACCAAGCTTTTCAACCTCATTTTTCGGGCAAACAAGATGCCAGAAGAATGGAGACGGAGTATATTAGTACCAATCTTCAAGAACAAGGGAGATGTTCAGAGTTGTACTAATTACCGTGGAATTAAGCTGATGAGCCATACAATGAAGCTATGGGAGAGAGTCATTGAGCACCGCTTAAGAAGAATGACAAGCGTGACCAAAAATCAGTTTGGTTTCATGCCTGGGAGGTCGACCATGGAAGCCATTTTCTTGGTACGACAACTTATGGAGAGATATAGGGAGCATAAGAAGGACTTGCATATGGTGTTCATTGACTTGGAGAAGGCCTATGATAAGATACCGCGGAATGTCATGTGGTGGGCCTTGGAGAAACACAAAGTCCCAGCAAAGTACATTACCCTCATCAAGGACATGTACAATAATGTTGTGACAAGTGTTCGAACAAGTGATGTCGACACCGATGACTTCCCGATTAAGATAGGGCTGCATCAGGGGTCAGCTTTGAGCCCTTATCTTTTTGCATTGGTGATGGATGAGGTCACAAGGGGTATACAAGGAGATATCCCATGGTGTATGCTCTTT